TTAGCTAGCTAACATCAATTTTAAGTCGTCCTTCTGGGTCCACAATTTCCTTTTGTGTCTGTTATATTTTACAGGTATGTTATATTAAGTTGACTAACCTGTATATATTTTTTGGTTATATGTTTCATTGTATTGCTTGTGTAGTCAAGTTCTGTTCTAAAACTATACGATCACTGTCTTAAGTATTTTGTGTAGTGAAATTGAGGATTAAAAGAAGGTCCACAATTTCCTTTTGTGTCCATTATATTTTACAGGGAAAGCAGTAGACATCTTACAGGGGTTACACATATACTGCGCCTAAATGTAAAGGGTATTGTTTGATCAGCTGTTTTTATATGTTCTCCCTCTGCCGGCTCCAGTGGACGTTGAAGTCGTGGCAGTTGTAGTCAACATAGCCGGTTCGCTAAGGTTGTTCTTTGGTAGCTCTACATCTTGTGAAGAAACCTCTTTCACGTTAGTTGAATGTTCCAAATACCCCTCACCTAATTCCTCTTTCTCTTCATCGTCTTTTCGCTTAAAATAAAATGTGATGTGCTTCATTTTGATGTCTGCATGTATACTTGACTTGGTTCACTTAAAATCCAGCAGTTCCTGCTCATTCCCAAACTATTTCAATGATTGCAGAGCCATAGAAAAACACTTCGACACTTTTTTATATGGCTCTGCAATGGGCCGGAGTCGGGCCATTTTTCCATACCATGTGTTGGTAAAAACTGCAAATAGTGTGTGTCATGATATTAATAAGGCTGAACTACTAGGTTTTTGCTACCCTCAGCTGACCGACATCTTGTCTTCCGAGATTAGGGGCGCTGGCTTCGGGAGGGATGTTCTGTCCCATGAAGATAAACAATCAGTCCTCTGTACGTATGTAACCATCCCTATGTTTTGATGACATACCTGCAGTATGTATTCCTGCTCCAAAGCTGAAAACCTTTGAGCAGGCGAAACTAGGTGGTTGCCTAGGGCCCCTAAGTTCCTGATAATAATAATTAAATCTGCGAGCAGCGTTGGACGGGTCCTCGCAACTCCGCACGTCGGGGCACAGGCCGGACGGCTAGATAAGCAGCCAAGAACTCCTGCGGCCGCCGGACAAAGTCTTGTATGCTTTGTCCGGCGGCCGCAGGAGTTCTTGGCTGCTTATCTAGCCGTCCGGCCTGTGCCCCGACGTGCGGAGTTGCGAGGACCCGTCCAACGCTGCTCGCAGATTTAATTATAGTCAGTTGTCGTTAACCACGTGGAGCGACGCGAAATGTCATAGATCACTAAACCTTCCCTTAAATCTGATTCACCAGCCTTATAATCAATTTCAGATGGTATTTAAAATGGAAACGACCAATAGCTACATGATACTTCCACTTCAGGTTTATTGTACACATCCCCAAGGCCTCACCCAGGGATAAGCAGGACATTCTGATGTACTATTCCAAAATTAAAGCCTCTCAAAATACCATACATGAGCCTTTCCTTTAAATTCTACATCGAGAAACTACTTTTGTTCAAATTCAGGTTAGCATTAAAAGGAAACTATCAATAGTTACATGATGATTTCACTTCAGACTAATAGTATACATCCCTAAGGTGTCACCGAGGGATAAGCAGGATAGAGAGGAGAACACGCTGGATCACTGTTACACCACAGTAAGCAGGGCTTATCACGCCGTCCCTCGTGCTGCACTGGGACACTCTGACCACGTCATGGTCCATCTGATTCCTGCATACAGGCAGAAACTAAAGCTCTGCAAACCTGTGGTGAGGGAATTCAAGAAGTGGACCAGTGAGGCGCTGGAGGATCTTCGGGCGTGCTTAGACTGCACAGACTGGGATGTTTTCAGGACTGCTTCTGACAGTCTGGATGAGTTTACAGAGGCTGTAACTTCCTACATCGGCTTCTGTGAGGACAGCTGTGTACCATCATGCACCAGGGTGAGTTACAACAACGACAAACCCTGGTTCACAGCGGAACTCAGAACACTACGCCTGCAAAAGGATCAGGCATTTAGGAGTGGGGACAAAGACTTGTACACAGAGGCAAAATACAAGTTTAGCAAGGCGGTGAGAGATGCTAAACGACTGTACTCTGAGAAACTCCAACAACAGTTCTCAGCAAGTGACTCTGCTTCGGTCTGGAGAGGCCTCAAACACCTCACCAACTACAAGCCAAAAACCCCCCACTCCATGAATGACCTCCGCCTGGCAGACGAGCTCAATGAGTTCTACTGCAGATTTGAAAGACAATGTCCTGATCCCATCCCCCACAGCTCCACCAACCTGCTGCAGTCCCCCTGACCTCCCTCCCCCAGCCCATCAGGTGCTCACGCCTCTTCATCTATATCACCTTCCCCTCCCCCACCAGCAATGACCCTCTCTATTCTGGAGAGAGACGTTAACCGGCTCTTTAGAAGACTTAATCCCCGTAAGGCAGCCGGTCCGGACTCCGTTTCCCCTCACTCCCTGAAGCATTGTGCTGACCAGCTGTCTCCGGTGTTCACTGACATCTTCAACACCTCCCTGGAGACATGCCACGTACCAGCCTGCTTCAAGGCCTCCACCATCATCCCTGTCCCCAAGAAGCCCAGGATCACAGGACTCAATGACTACAGGCCCGTCGCCCTGACCTCTGTAGTCATGAAGTCTTTTGAACGGCTAGTCCTGACCCACCTGAAGTCCCTCACCGACCCCCTCCTGGACCCCCTGCAGTTCGCCTACAGAGCCAACAGGTCTGTGGACGATGCTGTCAACATGGCCCTCCACTACATCCTCCAGCATCTGGACTCCCCAGGAACCTACGCCAGGATCCTGTTTGTGGACTTCAGCTCTGCTTTCAACACTATCATCCCGTCTCTGCTGCAGGACAAACTCTCCCAACTGCACGTGCCCGACTCCACCTGCAAGTGGATCACTGACTTCCTGTCTGACAGGAAGCAGCATGTGAAGCTGGGGAAACATGTCTCAGCCTCTCGGACCATCAGCACCGGTTCCCCCCAAGGCTGCGTTCTCTCCCCTCTGCTCTTCTCCCTGTACACCAACAGCTGCACCTCCAGCCACCAGTCCGTCAAGCTCCTGAAGTTTGCGGATGACACCACCCTCATGTGACTAATCTCTGGTGGGGACGAGTCCGCCTACAGGTGGGAGTCTGACCATCTGGTGTCGTGGTGCAGCCAGAACAACCTGGAGCTCAACGCTCTAAAGACAGTGGAGATGGTTGTGGATTTCCGGCGGAACAGAGCTCCACCCTCCCCCATCACCCTGTGTGACTCCCCCGTCACTATTGTGGATTCCTTCCGTTTCCTGGGCTCCATCATCACCCAGGACCTCAAGTGGGAGCTGAACATCAGCTCCATCACCAAGAAGGCTCAGCAGAGGTTGTTCTTCCTGAGGCAGCTGAAGAAATTCAACCTGCCAAAGACGATGATGGTCCACTTCTACACGGCCATCATCGAGTCCATCCTCTGCTCCTCCATCACCGTCTGGTACGCTGCAGCCACAGCCAAGGACAAGGGCAGGCTGCAGCGTGTCATCCGCTCTGCAGAGAGGGTGATCGGCGGCAATCTGCCGTCCCTGCAGGACTTGTTCGCTTCCAGGTCTCTGAAGCGAGCTAAAAAGATTGCGGCCGACCCCTCAGGCTGAGGTCCATCAGGACTACGAACTCCCGCCACACGAACAGCTTCTTCCCGTCGGCAGTCGGGCTCATCAACAGAGCCCGGTCCCCCACTGCCTGACTATAACACTCCACCGGTCACTCCCCCTCATACTGCACATGCCACTTTAACTGCAATTCATCACTTTGTCACTTGTCACTTTGTCTCTTGTCTGTTACTTGTTTGTTAGTGCACTTTATGCTTAATATTTTTCTTTTTACTTTTAATATTTAAATTTTTTAAACTTTATTCTCTTGTTTTATACTAACCCATAGCCTTAGCCTTATTCTACTAACACATTGCATTAGCATTTCATTCCACTTTATTTTATTACTTGTGCACTGTTGTCTTGTCTGTCTACTGTCGCGCACTAATCGCCAAGACAAATTCCTTGTATGTTTGACATATTTTGGCTAATAAATGTTTCCTGATTCCTGATTCCTGATTCTGATCTACTATTCCAAAATAAAGGCCTCTCAAGATACCATACATGAGCCAAAATATCAATCACAAAACTACATCTGGCCAATTTCAGATCAGATTTAAAACGAATAAATCAATAGTTACACAGTATTTCCACTTCAGAATGATTGTAGGAGCCATACATTGGGTTTGATTAGTCTTTTGTATTATTTCTTCCTTTCTTCCACATTGTTGGTATGTGCACGTGTGGGGTGACGTCATTTGCATCTACGACACCATACGGGGGCGTGGTGTGTGTATATTAGCGTGTGTCTGTTCAACTGTGGGGCTCAGCGGATTGTTTGGAGCATGGCTGCAGGGTGAGCATGGGACAAAAACTATCTTTTGACCGTCATCGTCACCGTTACCGGCTCTGGGGTAATTATTGTCATAACAAAGTTTCATGCACGTTGATCCTCTGAAAGACATCTATCGAGGAAGTGATTGGCGTGCTTCTGCTGGTGAGCCAGGAGTAATAAACATGACCATAAAATACTTCAGTGCGACGCGTCTTGATTATAAATCTCCTCATGTCTTAGCCTGCTGCGGCTTTTGATAGATTTTGTTGTGTATAAGCCGCTACAATGATAGTACACTTCCCCAAGGTGTCACCTATGGATAAGCAGGAAATTCTGATCTACTATTTCAAAATGAAAGCCTCTGAAAATACCATACATGAGCCAACTTCCTTCAGTATCCTTCACGAGACTACTCTCGGTCCATTTCAGAATTAAAAGGCAACTATTAATTGTTACATGATCATTTCACTTCATACTAATTGTATACATCCCCAAGGTGTCAGGCAGGGATAAGCAGGATATTCTGATTTAGTATTACAAAATAAAGGCCTCTCAAAATACCATACAAGAGCCAGAATATCAATCACAAGACTACATTTGGTCATTTTCAGATTACATTTAATAGGAAAAAATCCATAGTTACACAGTATTTCCACTTCAGGCATAGAGTACACATCCCCAAGATGTGACTCCGCAATAACCAGAACATTATGATGTACTATTTCAAAATAAAAGCCTCTCTAAATACCACCTAGTTTTTTACTGGATACTAGAAAATGCGACTTCAAGTTACCAGTAGGTGGCGCTACGACTTGATTCAACTTTACATCTCTTCAGGCCCAGAGTGTCATCAAACATGTATGAATTGGAAAGAATCTGATGTTGTCCAGTAGAGTTAAAAAAGGAAACTATCAATAGTAAAACAATCATTTGATATCAGGCAGATAGAAAACATCCCCAAGGTGTCACAATGGGTTAATCAGGACATTCTGATCTACTATTCCAAAATTAAAGCCTCTCAAAATACCATACATGAGGCGATTTCCTTTAAATTCTCCATCAAGAGACTACTTTTGTTCAAATTCAGGTTAGGATTAATGGTGGTTTTTCAAAAAATCTCCCTACACACATAGTTTCAAATTTCTTCCGGCAAAATGCAATTCTTAGAGCCTAGGTCCTCAAGATCACACTGCGCACATTTGAAAAGAATCGGCTGTAAGGCGAAGCATCAACTTTGCCGATGCACTATTTCGCCACCGATTATCAGATTCTTATAATATTCACAGTGAAGCATTATCAAGGTCTTACCTCTCTGCTAGGAAATTTTGAGAGTCTAGGTCCTCAAGATCACACAGCGCGAATTTGAAAAGAATCGGGTTTAATCCCTGGGAGGAGTTCGGTCTTTTGCAACTCTAAGAAATCATGAAAATAAGCCAAAAATAGGCCAAAAGGGCAGATTTTCAACAATTGCAGCGCCCCCTATTCTTCAAATATTCTCAAAAAATCAGGGTGTGATCAGGGCTTCAATGTTCACACGTGTTACAAGTTTGGTGAGGGCAGGCCAAATCATTTGGAAGTTATGACTCTTGCAACATTAAGCCACACCCCTTGCGAAGTTCATTAGCCCATATCTTCTCAAAACAAGAACATTTCAACATGCTCTTGATAGGGCAGGGGTACCTTGATCCAGTAATGATCCACAGAAAACCTTGTGACAATCGGACATAGCGTTTAGGAGAAATGGTAAAAAACGTGTTTTTCACAAAATTCTAAATGGCGGAAATTCTATTCTATTCTATGGCATTTGCATACCATGATTGACCCCCCTGTCACCAACTCGTGACCGCTGCAATGGAAACTCTCACCGGTGACAGATGGCAAAAATCCTCTGGGCATGTGCACAGTGCTGTAACCAAAAACAACAAAAGCAGCAAACAACGTGTAACTTGTTTTTAGGTTTGACAGAATCCAACAGAGTTCTGAAAAAGTAATCACAGAGTTTCTAGCAAATAAAAGGATAGGTTCTGCCTTTAACTAACTAGCAGCAGTGCTGAACAGCTATGCTAGATTTATTTACACTGCATAAAAATAACTCAATAAAGATCGACTTTCTCCCAAGACTTACCTGCAGTGTTTGCTGTTCACATTTCTATCTTGTGGTTTGTAGGTACACAGGTCTTTGTTGCTACGAGATTCAACAACAGCAATGATTAGTGATTCCAGAGTGAAAGGTTGTCTGCTTAATGCATTCACCATCAGCCTCATAAGCTGTACTCATGAGCTGTACTTACTAAATAGTTATTTTAAATAATTGCCGAAATGCCTTTCAGGAATCACACCTTTTTCTCCTTAATGACATATTGTATGTCTATTCATGAAAATTCAAAGTAGCAGCCATTTACACGCTAACATACTGCATCATATTATGTTAATCATTTAATTGGTAACATTTCTTAATAGCAATACAAATCACACTTGTAATGCTTAACTAATTAACAAATCATCATAAACTATTGAACCAGGGCAAATTATTAATGGCATTATAGGATTAGCTCACAAAATGTTCCACTCAAGGTATAAAAGTAACTCTGAATTAACATTCTTTAAATGATTATATAATCATTTAAAAGCTGTATTATTTCAACTGTATATCTTTATTACTGCACTGGGGAGAAGGATGTTATTTCGGAGTTCAATATGTTCATTAAATTTGATTAATGAGTATAGATAAAAAAGAGGAGGAGTTACAGTAAAATTATTATATCATGGTTTAGTGTTGGTGTAGTCTGATGCAGTATCGTACATAATTGAAAAATAAAATAAAAATATATGTATTATGTCTATTCATATCTATATTCATATTCTACATATATACAGCACACATAACGCAGTATTATGAATTAACAGAGTCTTTTCCATTGTAATTCATTTATCTAGTCTAAGGTTTTTTATATTATACATTCTTTATTCATTGAATGCATTTTCTATTGTTAAGCCTTTTGAGAAAACATTTTGGTTTATAAATACAATTCACTTACAAATCTTTAGCTGTTCATCTCTCATACCAATCGGGCTGGACGGTTTCTCCGCGTGTCCATTGGCTGGCAGTGTGATGTCACAGAGACTCTGACTTCAGTCTAGCTCAGGAAAGACGTAAGGTTATGTAAAAAACGATGGAGGGCTTGACATTTGCATTAATATCCTGATACAAATTGTCCACCCAGGACAAAGGGTTATCATCCACCATTGTCTGAGAAGTGTCTGCACACCACCTATGCATCTACATCCATGAGCATGTCAATTTAATCTGGATACCATCTCCCTCTATATTTATGACATCAAGAAAAACTAGCATTTTTATAGATGCTGATATATTCTCCCGAATTAAAATAAATCTTTTCTAATTAAGAAAGAGTGTGATATTTGTGCACAACCGCCGCTTTCTGTATTACAACCCCGGTGGTCTTCAAACACACAGCATGAACATTTCAAACAATGTGCTTTTATTCAGTAATTCCCTATTAGAGGTATTTACACCAGCGGGGATTTTTCCATGACGACCTGCTCACCTCCGTGGATCACTAAATCGGACACCTCTTTTCTCCACACATTTCTTTTAATTCTCACTTTGTATTGCTTCTCTTGCCATCTCATGTCCTTGGACTCACACTATGGCTCCACCTCTGTCACATCACTTCTCTCTCCCTCCATCTTTCTGGTAGTTGGTCCAATCCTTAAGGCTATTCTCTTTCTCTTGCTACAAACAGGGCGGCAGTGAAGACACTACAACATATATTTGAGTCACAAGTCTGTGCTTGTTATCTAAATATGGCTGCTTCGTGTTTCTGTGTGCTAAACTGGCAGCTGCCCTTCTCCTCAGATAATGCAGAGGAGTCTGAAAGTACAACATGGTAATGAGAGGAAGTGACATAGAGGTATGAAAGGTGATGAGGATGCTCTTGTTTTGTGCTAAATCATCCTCTGGTCTACAGAGCTCTGCAGGAAAAATAAAGTGATGTGGTGATTGACTTGTGAGAGCGGCCGACGGGTGAAGAATCACAGATAGGTGACGAAGGATGGATTACTGTTGACTTAGACGGTGGTGGTGTGTGCATTGCCAGCTGAATGGGAAAGTAAATGATAAATTGAGCAGAGGAAGTGGAAATCTTCACCTGGAGCCAAGGACTAAAGTGAAGTGTTGAAGAACAGAGGACATGAGAGAGAGAGAGAGAGAGAGAGTGAGAGAGAGAGAGAGAGAGAGAGAGAGAGAGAGAGAAAGAGAGAGAGAGAGAGAGAGAGGGCATCTACCAGCTGCAGCCAACAGGCATCCTGCACCGTATCACACAATGCGTCACATGACAAACTACATCAGAGAGGGAGGGCGGAGGGAGGCACTGCACAAAGAACACTAGCACTACCATGGACGAACACGCACATACATACACACAAACAAACGGACAAAAGAAGAAATAACACGTACTTTGGACTCTACTGGCAATAATAAAAAAAGAAACCAGAAACGAAACCTAGGATATAAAAAGAGCCAGTGGCGCCGGGTTTTACAGAAAGCATTTTCTCAATGACTGGCTTTTGAACAGCTCTACGCTTTTTCCTTTAGTCTACCAAGTAAATACTATTAACCTTACCAGGCAGCTAAAATCTATACAGTACTGTCATTTTTCATATATTTATATATATATATATATATACACTATACAAAGTTGGCAAAAATACGGAAAAGAATACATTAAATTAGATTGTACACATCACAATTGTGTGGTTTCAGTTGGAGCACTCTTTGTTGAGGAGCTTAGCCATGGCAAGCTGAGAAATGAGGCGAAGAAACAGGAGTGTTACCCCTGGCATCCCGCAACGCAAAAGAGTCACAATCAGACTCGGTAAGTAACATTTCAGTCAATGGCGTGAAATAAATGTATTGCTTATTACCTACCTGATTACAAATGTCCACATTATGGCAGGAGTTACAGGATGCTCTAACCGGATCACAAAGTCTATTTACAACCAGCGAGGAGAGAAAAACTCACATATTCTGAGGGATCTGGATTCAAGGGAAAATTGTCAGAATTGTTGTTTGCGTGTTTGTGTATGTGTATTTTCAGACTCGTGGGACTTCCTCCAAAGCAGGGGTCTGAAACTCAAATCAGGTGCGGGCCAGATGCAGCTCACTTCGACCGAACGCGGGCCAGACTATCACGGTCGACGGTCTGATTTGACTCCACGGGGAGGAGAACAGTCTTCTGCTGAAAATATAAATATTTGTTTTATGGCATAACACAGGCCCCGATTTGTGCCACATATCGCTTGGCTCGTTTCCTGAAAATGTGTAGGGGAGGTAAAAGGTTTATGGCAGTGTTGCCGGCAGCGGGCCTGGGATGTTTTGGGTACCACTCCTTCCCTTTGTTTCTCTTGCCCCGACCTCACAGCATCTCCAACAAAAATACAGCGGACATCAAAAGCCCTTATTCAAGAAGGGCAGGTATAATCAGCTTCAGCATCAACATCACCACCGTTATTCATCAATATCAGTTTTCATCATCACGAAGTGGCAAATCAAAACTTACTGTACAAAAAATGTTAATTTTTACCAAAGATATTTACATAACGTTTCCAAAAACAGAAAGATTTGCTTACCACGTTTTCATAAAGAAATATCACCTAAAACACACACATACACACTGACCAAACAGTCAAATGTGAACAGAAAGAAAAAATATATTATTACTCGTTATTGTCTTTCATTTATTAATTTTGTTATCTTTCACACAATGCTTACTTAAACCCTGATTGGGAGAAGTCACATTGGCTTTCACCAGATGCTCAAAACAATTGAAATGATGAGTTAGGGGAGGCGAAGTCTGTCTGCGCAGGGCAAGACTCACACACAAACAGACTGGGAAAAAAACAAAGGTTCAGCAGAATTAAACAGCTGCTGTCCCTCTAAAATGAGATCACTGCAACACCCCCACACTCCCTCCACACACACATACACATACACCTGAAGCTTGCAAAGACATAAGTACAGTGTAGCTTCAATTGAATATTGCACAAACTACAGCAAAGCAGGCAAATTTCAAATAAAGGGGGTCACTGACGCTCAGAAAACCAATCACAGTATAAAAAACGGACTGAGGGTACGACAAGGACAAACAATATCAAGTCTTGAAGATGCTGTAGACAGCTGGAAGCCTTCTGAGGCTGTACTCCAGTTTGGAGCTAATTGCTAATGTCAACATGTTCACTGAGGAAATGCTAACATGGTTGTGCCGTATTGTTAGAGGCAGCGCCTAAAGTTCAGGAAATTTGAAGATAACATCCTACGAATGAAGCATTAACTATCCACACCGCGCTCCGACTCGCCGGGAAACATAGTGGGAACACAAGTAGAGCGAGTGAAGCAGCTGCAACGCCGCCATGATGTATTCATGAGTTCAGGGGTGTTGGTCGGTCCTGACAGTGTTGTTGACAACAGAGAGGCCATGTTGAGAGGCGTGAGACGGATGGCCGTATAATTTAATTGGAATTTGGGAATCGCTCTCTCCTGTTTGTGCTCTAAGCTCACCATCCGTTTTAATAGTACATGAGGTTTCAGACTTCTGGTTACTTCAAGGAAAGTAAAACGTTCTGGATATACTGTGGTGAATCCTACGGCACTGTAAAACATTGTTGCAGAAGAAAAAAAACAAAAATGGAATGGAACTGCAATTAAGACTAGTTAGACGAGTTAATCCTCTCGCCCAAATGTCACTAGTGATGTAATGACTGTTCCATTTAACCTTTTAAAAATTAGAAAATGTTTTTGTCGGGATTGGCTTTTATGAAGTCTGTATCTTAAGCACTTAGTGAGTTTTAAAAGCGTGCAGCCCTCCAGGCTTGGAGGAGCAGCCACATGACTGTGCCTCATGTTGCTAAAAATAAAGCCATATCCTCCCGTTTACAGGGTCATTGATGCCTGGGCTTAGTAAACCCTGGCAGCATACCAATTTATCACTCCTTGAGCTACATATCATCTTAGTGAAAAGGAAAAGGCAGCGGTATTGTGTTGACTCATCGCCCGCACATTCAGACCACGTCTGGTTTTCAATCGCCTCATGATTATTTATTCTGTTTCGACTGATAAGCCTTTATCCCTGGTCATCATCAATTCAAGTGATCAGGGTATAATCATCATCATAAATGAAAAGCTTAAAAGCAGAGATTTAAAATGCTTTAATGCCTTCTCTATTAGTTTTTGACACAGCCAGACTTATTGGAAACCACATTAAAAGAAGTAGTGAGGCTTTGACTAAAGAAAACAACCAACATGAGAGATGGTTGAAACGACGATGCTCATTCAGAGCATGCTAAATCGCTCCACTGAAAGAAAAGTAAAATCCTGAAAAGCTGATCATGCTTCACAGGACTTTATGAATGTAAAAAATAAGACAAGTTGTTACTGTAGAGCTAAAGTACTTTCCATTAAGAAAGATGCAATGTCTGTGTGAGCAGCTCTTAATGGCTGACAGTATTCATGTTGCTGCTTTGTGACTGTTTTATTAATGTTGGAGAAAAATGGAGATGAGCTGAATGGGCCTGACAAGCAGGGCAGCCACCAGTTCACTGTGTGGCTTTCTCAAGCACTCAGGGAAGAGATAATGTCTAATCTGCTTCTACAACATCGAACAGAGGCAGATCAGACCATCATCTAATATTACACATCACACCCACGCGTCCGTGATACACAGTCGTCCAGGATCCGAAACAACACAAACATATTTTTCTTTCAGTGTTGGATTCCATGTGTCTCGCTGTTTCCAATCACGCACAATCGTTCAGAATCATGAACCCGTTCAGGACCACCCACACTCTTTGTTGAGAGCTCTGACCGTGCATGTTGTGGATCAACACATTGCGTAAAGAGCAGTGTTGTTTAGGCCTCAGCTAACATCGCAGACACCAGCGGCCGGCCCCCAGCAGTCAGGAAGCAGACACACATAGAAGACTGCAGCACAAAATGAACCAAAAGGAGGATGAGAGCCCTACATCCGTCCTCTATACGTCCTCCACTTCATCTCCAAATCCCGGAATCACAGAGCAGACGTCTCCTCTCCCCAACTGCTGCTAAGCCTTTCAAACACTCCCCCCCTTTAATTTTCCTCATTACTGTAATCATCATCAAAACTGTCATTATTGTTATTACTGTTATTACATTTTCAAAAAGTGCAGATAGAACTTCCCTTGGCCGTTCAGAAGGCGGGGCAGGTGGGCAGCTGTCCAGTTTTCAATGTTTTTAAAAATGTTTTTCTTTTTGTTGTTTTGCTACAGCACAGGACCCACAGCACGGAGACAACAAGGGTGTGTGGGGGAGTAATAAAAGCATAAAGATGAATAGAGAGTTTCCATCTAGAATTCAGCTGATTACATCACAAACTGCGTATTGATTGTTGTTCACAACTTCAGCTGATCATTAAACCACTTTTGAGTCAAAGGAGGGGGGGCTGAAAAAGGGAGAGGATATAGTGTAAACTTGAGACAGATGACAAAGAGACAAATGAAGAGAGAGACTTAGAGAGATATGATACTGTATATATACTGTATGTATACTGTTCTGCCAATCTATTTACCTCTCTACATATTGTACATACTGTATAGTTTTGAAAATCTGGAATAGTCATACAATTATATGAGAATGAGGATTATTTGAGAATAGATTGTGACATCTCTGTGATTCTACGGGACCGGCACCTTAGACGGATCGAGGAGCTGCAGAGCAGTTTGGAACCTGAAGGGTCAATAAAGAAACTGAATATCGGGGCACCACAGGCAAAGTGCAGACAGGCATACAGACAGTCGGAAATAGGGGGACTATTGGCACAGTGAGATGTGAGAGGGGTCGAAGTGAAGATCTTAAAAAAAAAAAAAGTTTAAAGGTTTAATAGAGCAGATGGCTAATTGTACCCATGTTTCCCAGCCTGGCAGCAAGTCAGTCTTGTGCATAAGGACGGGAGTGGAAGGAGGAGAGGGGGGAGGAGCAGAAGACGGGGAAGGGGTCTCAGCGGAACCCGGGCGGTGCGCTCAGGCCTTCAGAGCGTGCCACTGGGCGACGTTAGTACGCGGCCGAGCGAGCATGTCTTTCCAGTGCTTTACCTCCGCTGGTCCACTCTTCCACGATAGGTAGATCTGAGAGACGGGAAGGGAAGAACAATGAACACTAAATAATCTGTAAGCATTTTAAATAGTATGTAACATTGCTGTGGTTTTTTTTTGTCATTCAGATGGGTCATAAGCGGCCTTCATTCAGACATGACAACATCTTTCTGGAATAAGCCCCGGTGTTTGGCCGATATTTAGCACGTAGGTTAGAGCACTGTAAGCGGCGAAGAACATCGGTGAGTTGGAAGTTGTAATGACATGAAGGAAGAAAAGTGGTCTCAGGTCTCAGGCTGCATCACTTATGGATTTTAAAATACAATTTGCTCTTGAAGCCTTAGTCAATGAAGCCCATTTCTGCTATGCTGTAACGCCCAGGGTTTCCGCTGGTTGCCTGGAAATGGACAGAGACAGAAGCAGAGCCCGGCTAACTGTATCCTACTGCTCTCAGTCTACATGCTTAGCTGCTATCCCTCTGCTGGCTGGAGCTTTACGTCCAGTTGCCAAACGTGAGCGTGGAATTTATCTTCTGATCTACGTCTCACTGCTAATAGATGCAATTTCTAAAAATAGGCCATGCTTTAAAATGTAAGTGCTGAGCATTCCACATGATGAACACAGAAAGTTGGCTACTTAACAAATGTTGTCTATTGGTTGTTTACAAGTTTGAATCTGAATATATTTGTTTGTTAACCTGAGTTGAAAAATATGTGCGTTTACTTAAGTTAAATATTAATGTATCAATTTTCTTCACTGTGGTGGCAATGTTCACATGGGGAATCCCTACTGTGTGTTACCTTGCCGATGACGTCGTTGCGGCTAAGCCTGTCCTTGTCCATGACAGTGATGATGATGGTGGTCTCCCTCAGCACATGGGCGGCCACTTCAAAGGGGAAGGACTCGTTGAAAATGGGGTTGAGACAGCGCTTCATTGTCATCGTCTTCTTTTTCTCTACGCGCTTGTCCTTGTGCATCAGCCACACTTTCACGTATGGATCTGCAATAAGTCCGCAGAAAACAGCGGTTTGCGTGAGAGCGAGGGAGAAGATGCTCACAGAAGGTGTATTTCAGAGTCAGGTTAGCAATTACCCTCTTAATTGTTAAAGTCAGGGAAGGCAGCAGGGAAGCAGATCCCGAGTTTGAGCTCAAGGTCAACTTATCCCATGAGCTTGGAAACATACAAATGAGGAGGTATTTATGGAAATGGCATTTCTACTACCAATTCTGGTGCATTATCATATGCTGTGACACAAGCATACACTGATCCAAATGTTTGAACACAGAGATGAAGCTTCTGACGTCAGGAGAATGGCTTCAGACGGGTGAACAAGGGTTAGAAGGGGGAAAAAGGCTAAACAAACATACCTGAGGTGCCCCCAATATCCATGGCTTTGAGATTTCGCGCTTTGATGATGTTCACTGTGATGATGTTGGCTGTGGGATTGTAGCAGAGAGACAACAGCAGGTCTCCTCGTCTCCCCTGAGGAACAAACAAAAACACATGCACATGACGATGTGTGAATTTCCCAGACTAATATCGGATTTCATCAGGGAAAATCAAACACCAGTTTACTCTCTAGTTCCTCGTATCTTACATCTCTGCTCTAACCCCATGTGCCACAGACGGTCCAGTGACCAGGCGGACACAGCCGAGTACCTTGGCTCACATGCTGAGAGCACTGAACAAATGGCATTGCACTAATAGATCTGTAAAGTTTGACTGAAATAACTGGATTTGGCCATCCCTCCTTTCTCTTACACTGCCATCACTGCAGGGCTTGAGCTCCTTCCAGAAGGTCTTTATTTGGCCCAGTTCCACCTTGTTAAGGGGGATTGACACCTCTCCAATGGGGTCATTCCTGCTGAAGCGGTCGTAGTCCAACACCTGTAGGTATAGAGTGCGCTCTCTCACCTTCTCGTAAGGGAAGCCTAAAACAGAGACAATAAGAGGGAAGTTATGGAGGATGAAAAACTTATTCTTGACAGTAGGTCAGGAAAATCTGCCCTGTGTTAACCCGGGAGGAATTTGTCAAAGGCCAAAGTATGTTTAAAAAAACAGCAGGAACAGATGCTCCCTCTCTCTGGCTGAGGAGGATGATTACACTCACAGAGATGGATCTCATTAATTTCTCAAGAGCACTGGCTGTTTTCCTATTTTGGAACCTTTCAAACATCGTTTTGGCAATTTCACATAATGTTCTTTCTTGGTCATGACACAACCTTTGCCGTTGCCATTAACAATTAAAGAGAGAATGTTACAAAGTTAACCATGTGAGGCTGTGACAGCACACTTCTGTTCTTAATCAATACCACTCATATTTAAGAAATATAAATATAACGCAAAAGTATAATCCTGCTTAACAGCTTGTGTGGCCGTACTTTTTTACACCTTGATTTCTCTAAACGAGAGATTTGTGTAAATTGGCGAGCTTTTTATTTTGCGTACAGAAAAACGACATCATCTCATATGGATTGGTATGGATCTATATATCCATATATGGATTTACAGCCACAGGAAGCCTTCATAATGGCAACGTCTCACCACATGCAGCACCATAATTATCGTGTTCTTATATAAACACAGAAGTTTGAACTATTTTGGTTATTTCACAGTTTTTCAGTGTTCGGCTGTTACTACATTAATCTGGTGATATTTAGCTGTGAAAAGGAAATGTTGTGGTGATATATGTAAGCTTTTAAGGGGCTTGAAAGGATGGAAATGAAAAATAGTACAAACATTAACAAATTTCACAACACAGACCCTCAAACAGGAAGGTTTCGTTCCAGTGGGGGTTGAGGTTCTTCCTCTTGATCTTGGTCTCCAGCTTGTTTTTTTTGTCAGGCAGCAGGTAGATTTTGACGAAGGGATCGGAGGTGCCGGAGAAGTCCTTGGCCGGGAGCTCCTGGCCCCTGAGAAGTTTGACGGTGAGGGTTGTGTTCTGGAAGCTGTAGCCTATGCTGAACTGGATCCGGCCCAGCTTCTCACTGACGGGCCCTTCACCGTCATCATACTCCGAACCGGGGGACAGCTGCAGGGGCCACAAATGCAGTCGAATAAATACAAATTCATGCAACATTAGCAGCAGCGCTCCTTCACATGAATAGGTCAGTCCGAGGGCTACACAACTATCTCTGACACAAGCATGCACACACAGGCCGTGACACAGAGAACCTGTGATGGGGGAGATTTTAGAGAAGTCTGACATTAAAAAGATTGAGAGAGTTTGATTTCTCTTCTTAAGAGGCTCAGATTAATGATAGTGGCGCTTTAGACCACCCATTCTCCTTCTGCTTTATCACTGCTGTGCACAAAAAGACCACGATCTGATAGAAGGCAGCGGACAGAGAGTCAGAGAGAGAGTGAGATACGAGCAGAAAGAGTGGGAGAGAGAGAGGGAGAGATAGAGAGAGAGCTTTGCATTGAGGGCATGGCGAGAACTGAAACACAGCTCTGGGTTAGCATTCTACTCTTAAAGCTACGCTTCACTTCTTTTCTCCCTGTTACACCACCTTATGTGGCTCTTCTTTATTGTTTTCCCTCTCTACAGGAAGAGCATTTATTTAAATGAAGAATCTGAGGACTTCATGAGACCATGTTGTGCAAATGTGCCCATTATTATTTGTAAAAAAAACAGTCGGGTGGTTTCCTCGGAGCATTACCTGGAATTGTTGATTTCACAGCATTGGGTTACAGCTTAAATTTCAAAGTGGAAAAGACTCACTTACTCCGCTTTAGTCAATAGGCTTCAACATCCAGACAGTGAAGTCATCTGACCTCTTACACCTACTTGGAGCTTTTCTCTCTACCCTCTTCCATCATCCACCCCACTGTCTTTTAAATTCCATGCTGTAACAGTTGCTCACCCGGTACAATGAAATATCGTTGTCCTTTACCGTCCGCCAGGCTCCTCGGGTCATTTCTTGGAAGAACTGGACATTCTCCTGTCCAATTTCCCTGAAAATGGCCCTCCGCTCATCCTCCTGGGTGACTTCAACATCCAGACAGAGGAGTCATCTGACCTCTTATACCTACTTTCTTCTTTCGCTCTGTCACTCAGTCCCTCTCCTCCTACTGACAAAGCCGGCAATCACCTTGACTACATCTTCACTAGAAACTGCTCTACCACTAACCTCTCTGTAACTCCACTTCATGTGTGTGACCACTTCTTCATCTCTTAATCTCTCCCACTCTCTGTAACTAACGACCCCATTAACTGATCCTGTACCTGTTCGTCGCAACATTCGCTCCCTCTCTCCCTCCTCCCTAGCATCCTCTCTTCTATCAGCTCTCCTTTCTACTCTTGCATCCGAACGCTGCTGCAGAGACTCTCCTCTCAACTCTTGCCTCCTCTCTAAACTGTCTCTGCCCTCTTACAACACAATAGACTGGCAAATCCCCTCTGGCTCCGTGGAACTGTCTCAACCGGTGCCATGAGAGCCACCATTCGAGCATCGGAAAGGAGATGGCGTAAATATAAACGACCTGATGACCTGCTTGAATTTCAATCTCTCCTCTCCTCTTTTTCTGCTTCTATCTCTCCTGCCAAAAGCTCTTTCTACCAATCCATAATTGAATCTTTATTTTCTAACCCCAAAAAACCCCTAGCCCTCCTCCCGCCTCCACCCTTCTTCCAGGTGACTTTGTAAACTACTTTACCAAGAAAATAGCTGACATACGCTCCTTTCTCAAACCCACCTCCTACTTCTTGCGTCCCACTGACTTTATCTGCATCGCCCTCACTTTTCTCTTTCACCCCCCCCTCTCCTAACCAAATTCTTACCCTAGTAACCCTAAACACTCGACTAGACCACGACTCTTTGCGCCGAAATGGTGGAATGAGCTCTCTGAAGACACCAGGACCGCAGAGAGCCTTCACATCTTACGCCGGAAAATAAAGACACACCTCTTCAGACTCTACCTCGACTAAAGACTAACAAATTGTAGCACTTGTAGTACTTGTAACGTCACTCATCTATAGCAAATTGTAAATTGGCTTATTTGAGGAAATTGCACTTTCTTGTTTCTTGTTCTTCTGAGTTTTTACCCTATGGTTGAATGCACTTATTGTAAGTCGCTTTGGATAAAGCGTCCGCTAAATGACATGTAATGTAATGTAATCTCTACCCTAACAACCTTCTTGATCCCCACCAGTCATGCATCAAGGCAGGCCATTCCACAGAGACTGCTCTCCTTGCTGTCTCAGAAAGACTCCAAACTGCTAGAGCCGCCTCTCGCATCCCGACAAGACAGAACTACTTGTCTTTCTGGGAAAAGATTCTCCGACCCAGGACTTGACGGTTAACTTGGGCAACTCTGTGTTAACGCCCACTTTGACTGCTAGGAACCTCGGCGTGACGCTCGACAGCCAACTCTCCCTGACTCCCAACATCACTGCAACAACACGATCCTGTAGATACACGCTCTACAACATCAGGAGAATACGTCCGCTTCTCACTCAGAAGGCAGCTCAGGTACTGATACAGGCTCTTGTCATCTCCCGCCTGGACTACTGCAACTCCCTCCTGGCAGGTCTCCCCGCTACCGCCAATCGACCTCTCCAGCTCATCCAAAATGCAGCACCTTGACTGGTCCTTTACATTCCGAAATTAGATGGATGGATGGGATCCAGCTTACATCCAGGACATGGTCAAACCCTACATCCCGACCCGACTCTCCGCTCTGCATCCGCCAAATTGCTTGTCCCTCGCACACTGAGAGCAAAACACTCAACAAGATCACGACTCTTTGATGTCCTTGCTCCTAAATGGTGGAACGACCTCTCTGATGATGTCGCAGAGAGCCTTCACATCTTCAGTCGCAAACTAAAGAAGCACCTCAGACTTCAATAAAAGACTAACACATTGTAGCACTTAAATTGTACTTATAATGCCACTTATCTATAACAAATTGTAAAGTGGCTTATTTACTGAAATTGCGCTTTTTTGTTTCTTGCTCTTCTGAGTTTGTATCCCTATGGTTGAATGCACTTATTGTAAGTCGCTTTGGATAAAAGCGTCAGCAAAATTACATGTATAAGGGTTTTAGAACTGTCAAGCAGAGCGACGGTGAAATATCATAATTTATAAAACAGTCACCTAGGATGGCTCTTCTTGCTTGATTGCCGCTTCAGGAGCTGTGATTTTTCCTCTCATATTGTGTAACTCTTATTACCATGACCTGTGGCTTTAAAACCTCTTCTAGCATGAAGGATGATTCAGCAACACGTTTTGTACCTAATCCTTACGGCTAGTTGACTTTAACATGGAATTGTTGTCTCCTGGTCAGTTTATTTATACATTCACAATACATTTGTGGTTTTGGATGGAGCTTTCTAAAATTGAAGACAACACCTAGATATTTTGGCCTCTATTGCTTTAATTCATTTTTAATCCATCCATTGTGAGTTCTCCTACATTTCAGTACGTGAATAATTCTGGAAAAATTCAACAACAAATTTTCCAAAAAGCCAGAAACAGATACTGTGATTGTCAATGTCGCTCAGTCTAATGTAGCCCTCCATGTCGTAGAGCACCGTTGTCCTCTCAAACATATTAAATACACATTAAAGAACCACTGCGTTGCACTGGATGATATTTCAAGGAATTATTATTTTTATTCTTATTCTTTTCTCTAAGGAATTTTCCCTTTTTGAGGCCTTTGTCATATTCAAAAAGTAAACGATACTGAAGGAAGTTGGCTCATGTATGGTATTTTGAGAGGCTTATCAATAGGTGACACATTGGGGATGTGTACTATCAGTCTGAAGTGAAATGATTATGTAACTATTGGTAGTTTCCCTTTATTTCCAACCTGAATTTGACCAAAAGTAGTGTCATTAAGGATACTGAAGGAATTTGGCTCATGTGTGGTATTTTGAGAGGCTTTAATTTTGGAATAGTACATCAGAATGTCCTGCTTATCCCTGGATGACATCTTGGGGATGTGTACTATGAACCTGAAGTGGAAGTATCATGTAGCTATTGTTCGTTTCCTTTTCAAATACCATCTGAAATTGATTATAAGGCTGCTGAATGAGATTTAAGAGAAGGTTTGGTGATCTATGACATTTCGCGTCGCTCCACGCGGTTAACGACAACTGACTCTTGGATGCTTTGTCCGACGGCCGCAGGAGTTCTTGGCTGCGTATCTAGCCGTCCGGCCTGTGCTCCGACGTGTGGAGGTGCGAGTACCCGTCCAACGCTGCTCGCAGCTTTAATTTACTTTGACTTATACATTTTCTACGATCTGTGGTTTTAGAAAATCCTATTTGGACTCAGCAGTTAACAATGGACTTGAGTCATGCTATCATAATATTGTATTATAATAATTTTTATGTGTGTGGTGGGAGAGCAGTTCTCACCATCACCATGTCTCCAGTGAGGGAGTTGGCCACGTCAGTTACGGAGGATTTGCCGTCAGCATCCGGGGGTTGGCCCTTGGGACTGTTGGCTGGCTTGTTGCCCCTGTAAGCAGAAACACAAGTTGACCCGGGGGGGAATTGGCGAGGACACGTGCTAAAGAGCTAACTCGTCTCCAGAATGAGAGAATGTCTGAGCACACAGAGAGCCCAACCTCCATCTGTTTGGCGCTTGAAGACCGCCTATCTGAAACGACCCATTGAGTCCAAGTTGGCTTTGGAAAGATGTCCCTTCAAAGTTAATTTTGCTCTATCTAGCTATCATGAGCAAAGCCAAATAAGATATGCCAAGAGTTCCAGAGATTGGCGGCAGATGCTAGGACTGAGGGCATTTGATGGAGTGAATCGTGTTTGATGAAACTCAAGAAAGGTACCTCCACCAAGGAAACAAACACATTTTCAGAAATGTAAAATTGATAGAAACCAATCGGTTATCTCCAAATCCCCAAGGAGATCATGATTAATCTTATTTACTCTACAGACATTAACCGGACACACATGTATAATGATATGTAGGGCAACATGACGTCACTATAAATACAATAGACATGTATAGCAACATAGAGGCCAGACGTTTAACAGGACAGATGTGGAAAAGTTTTGTAAAGTCTGTACGCCTATTTGTGTGTCTTTGTCTGTGTGTGTCAAAATCTCTCAGTTATTTAGAATATGCATCATCAACACAAAATATAAATAAAAGCACAAAAGAGAGAACAGAGATCTCCCACGGCAGAGGTGGTACTTAGGGTCAAATGTTAATAGATGTTAAGTTTAGTTCCCTCGCAGGATGATTGTTGAAAGCAGTACGTTAAAGTGGGACAAGTATTCTCGGAGGAAAATCTTCATACATCATGAAAACAAGAAGAATCACAAAGTGAAGGACTTGGAGAAATTGGACAAATAACAAAAATGAAAACAGAATAAATATTATGAGATATAGTATAGTATATATAAAGAAATATAGTAAAGAGAGAGAAGTCCTGGCCAATGTAATTTGACAAATTGGACACACATCACTCCATATATGACCTATATGAAGGCACATGGAGAGGCAACACACTGAAACGCCGTTGGGCAGTAAACAAACAGTAAACACGGAAGAAAAACAACAACAACAGACACACAGAGAAAGAGAAACGAAATGAGCAGTGAAAGAGGATGCAGAAGTTAAAGACACACACACTGGACAGAAAGGGACACAAAGCATTAATATCATGACCAGTGAGGTTACTAACTAAAGATTATGAACACCAGCAGAGAGAAAAACAGAGCTGCAAGAAAAGATAGGGAATGAAGTTAGGAAAGCGTGGAAAGATAAGAGAGGCTTAGTTTGGTCAGTCTGATAGATCAAAGAATAAGAGACAAAAATAAAGAGCGATGCATATATAATATCTCTAACAGGAGACATAGAGACGGACGTGTTAAAGGGAGAAAAAGAGCCCACAGAAGAAAAGAAAAGACAATAAATCCAATTATCACCAGGAAAAGAAGAGCAAGAACAATTGTTCTTCATGGAGAGCTCAAAATAAACAATAAATGTGATTCAGTATGAAATAGAAAAAAGTCGTAGATATACAATGTCGAAATCATTGAAAACACAAAAAGGGACAAACAGTAATAACAAAAGAAAATGCACATTCAGAGTGTCACAGAAGAGGAAATAACGTAAGAACTACCCATTAAGTTACAACTAACAGATTTTCCACCTTTAAGCAACACTCTAAAAGTGGACCTGAGACACAAGTGCCAAAGCACAAACTGGCATTGGCTACAAGTACATATAGAACATATGCAAGGAGTTGTCACTCAAAGAGTGAGGGCAATGCCTCCGACAGGCAGGAAACAAGGAGCCCACAGAAAGTCTGTCTGTCTATCTGTTTACATCCACCTGCGAGCCGACGCAACAGCTGCGCTCAGCAAACTCCATGACGTCATCAGCGCGGTAGAAACGGCTCACCCCAATGCCGTCCTTATCGCCGCTGAAGACTTCAACCAGTGTAATTTACGGACTGTATTTCCCAAATATTACCAACACAGCCACATCCCGTACAGGACTACGCAGAGTATGTGACCGGTGTTCGGAAAGCTCTTTATGCCTCAATGAGTGAATATAACAAAGCATGCATGCAAGTTTGTCTTCATCTTATAACTAGTACACCTTAATTACAACACATCATTAATGATCACTGTTCTTCACACTTCATAAGATAACATAACACATCATAAGATCTAAGACAGTTCGTGTGGTCCAATTCTCAAGACATTTGCCTCAGTCGGCTGCCTTACATTAAGTTGCTCATTTACCACCTGACAGGAGAAAAAACTCCCAAAAAAACTCTTTGGGGATAAAATTGGGAGAAATCCATAAAGGACGGCAATTAGCATCCGTCCCCAGGTTTTAACATCACATTGTGACAGAATGTTAATGTGTACAGTGTTTATATGATTTAAATGACTATACATTGTGTTTGATTCAAATTGCATTCACTTCATCTAACATGTTAATGTAATAACTAATATCTAATAACACACAAACTACAATTCTAACACTAAACATCATTACACGTATTATAACTTCCACCACTAGGGGTGCACTTCTGGCTTAAATCCCTAACACCGGGTACATCTACACTTGTGTAGACAACATTGTGCCCACCATACAGGTCAGGAAGTTCCCCAACCAGAAGCCCTGGATTAACAGTCAGGTACATCAGATGATGCGTGCTCGCTCTGCTGCATTCAGATCAGGCATTGAGACAGAGTACAAAGCTGCTAAGTACCGACTGAGAAAAGCCGTCACAGTGACAAAGAGGCAGTACAGAGAGAAGCTGGATGGCTTCTACTCCACTGCTGACCCCAGGCAGATGTGGCAAAGCCTACAGCACATCACCGACTACAGGACCACCACCAGCTCTATCAGCGCCACAAACAGCAAATGAGCTGACAGATGTTCTTCAACCTTTCCCTCAGCATGAGCACCGTCCCCACCTGCTTCAAGACCACAACCATCATTCCCCTGCCCCAAAAGAGCCCACTCACCTGCCTGAATGACTACAGGCTAGCAGCACTCACTCCAATCATAATGAAGTGCTTTGAGAGAGTGATACTGTCCCACATTCAGAGCAGCATACCGGACACCCTGAATCCCCAGCAGTTCGCCTACAGGCGCAACAGGTCCACCTCAGACGCCACAGCTGCTGCCCTCCACTACTCCCTCTCTCACCTAGAAAACAAGGACTCCTACATTAGGATGCTCTTTGTCGACTACAGCTCCGCTTTCAACACGGTCTTCCCCCACAAACTCATCCATAAACTCTCCACACTCGGTCTGCACCCCACCGTCTGTGACTGGCTGTTTGACTTTCTGACTGGCAGGCCTCAGTCTGTCAGGATTGGAAACAGGACTTGAGGAAGGAGAGGAGACCTCATCAACCACTTTTCATCCAGTTTAGGGATGTCTCCCAAAATCCTCAGCAACTTCTACAGCTGCATCATCGAGAGCATATTGACCAGCTGCATCACCGTGTGGTTCGGCAGCACATCCACAATGGACCGCAAACGCCTGCAGAGTGGTGAGGACAGCAGAAAAGATCATCAAGACCCCGCTGCCCTCTCTGCAGAGCATCTACCACCGCAGGGTTCACAGGAGAACTGCCTCCATTCTCAAAGACCCCACCCACCCCCAACATGGACCGTTCAAGCTTCTACCCTCAGGCAGGAGGTACAGAAGTGCCAAATGCAGGACCACCAGACTAGAAAACTCTTTTTACCCCACTGCCATTAGAGCCATCAACAGCTGAGAGGACTCTATAACCTAACTCACAGGTCTGCACTTTAGCTTGTTAGGATTCACTTACTGTTACTGTACTGTTAATTTATATTGCACTCATTTCATTTCATTTCATTTAAGTTTTTTCTTTTACAACCTGCTCAGTTTTGCACTATTCCTCTTTACCTCATTTCTGCCTTATCCGTACCTTATTTTTATTTTTTATTTCATGTACATTTAGATAGATAGATAGATACTTTATTGATCCCTCAAGAGGGAAATTTTGGTATCACAGCCAGCATGTACAGGGAAGAAAATAGAATAAAAAGATACACATTATATACAATATAATAAGATAGAAATATTAAATAATTAAATAAAATAAAATAAACTAAAACTAAAACTGAAACAAAAGAATAACCTTCCAAAAGAGACAACAATAATAATTTGTAAAAGGAGAAGAGGAAGAGCAGCAACATCACAGCAGTACAGGGTTATTATTGTCATTATTTAGCCAGGGATGATTTATTGTAAAGTGTTATTGCACTGGGCAGGAATGATCTCCTGTATCGGTCCTTGTGACAGCGGAGCTGAAGGAGTCTGTTGGAGAACGTGCTCCGCTGTCCCTGTAGCAGGTGGTGGAGGGGGTGGTCAGGATTATGCAATATGGATAACAGTTTCTTCAGTGACCTCCCCTCCAAGCTGTCCTGTTTGCAGCCAATGATGGAGCCGGCCTTCTTAACAAGTTTGTTAAGTCTGTTGGTGTCATTTATGTAAATATTGGTCGGCTTTCCGGAAAGGCAAGCACAAGAATTTCAATACACAGGGCGTGTGTAAATGACAATAAAATCGTTGAATCTTGAATCTTGGCGAGCAAACACTGAGACAATGTTTTTTTTTTGTTGGAACTTTCTGAACTGTAAATCTGGAAGAGAACGGATGTTGAATGTAATAATGTGTACATTTTTGCTGAAGATAAGGACAGAACCGGGGGAAATATATTCGAACAAATAGACAAACAGAAAAAGCAAGCAAACGGAACGAGCAAAACGGACAATCACTTCAGCCAGCAAAGGATCCCGAGCGAGACGGGGGGGTGGGCAGGGTCTTTGGGTTTGAAGTAAAGCAAGACACCTCCCTCCTCCTCCATCCTGCAACTAAGAATGGGGAAGTGAACGTCTTCAATTATTCATTCTCTTCATGCTTCATTCAGGGTGTTCAGTGCATTGTCAGGTAAAGCTGGCGCATCGAGGGAAATGGCCTTTCTACCAGCCCTG